ACATCCCTGCACCTTACCACTTAAAATTAAAGACACGAGAGTTTCGATAACTCTTGGCTGCTAATTTCATTACAGACGCTGCTCCAACAACTTACCATTTTTGAACGGATCATTGACCACCCCAAACTTGCGATCATTAGCGATATCCTGCCACCTGCCATAACCGTGACTGAAAGAGAGATAATGTCAAGGAGAAACAAAATACCCCTATTGTCACCAATTTTCGCAGTCTCACAAAAGTCGAGAAATTTTATACAATACTCTATTACAAAACAATTAAAATTTTAAGTCGCAGTTCGGATGGTTGCAGTTTTAGATAAAATGACTTTGTCTCCGCTGGATTTTTTTCAGCAGCATTTTGTTTTCCGCACTACTCTATAAACTGCACCTTCTACTGAAAAGCCAACGTTCGATATATCAGAATTCTAATATGACTAAGAGGCTTTCCGAAAAAAAAACTGCAAAATGTTACGATTTTATTGTCTGGTAATTCCCAAAGGAGACCTGACCACAAAGAAAACCAAACCAAGAAGCATTGGAGTTGATATATCGAACGTAGGCTATTGTTAGGTGAGGAACAAGGCTGGCGCACGCGCAGTGGTGAGAGCACTCGAGTGCCACTAATGTGGCCCAGGTTTGAATCCTGGCGTCAACGTCATATGTGAGTTGAGTTCGTTGTTGCTTCTCTCCCTTGTTCCGGGAGGTTTTTCTCCGGGTGCTCCGGTTTTCTTCTCTCCTTAAAAACCAACACTTCCAAGTTCTAATTCGATTTGGAACGCACGGACACGTTTTAACGAGTTCTTAAGAACCCCTAAGTGCTTCGAGGGTAGACAAACAACCAATTACAAAACAAATAAGTCCAAACAGCACATACCCTTCAATCAGACGCAAGTTGTTCAAAACATGGATAGCACTATCCACTGGATAAATCTCTATCCACTGGCTGACGCATTTGGCTCCCCTTGTACTTTTCCGCTAAAAATTGATTCATCCGGTGGATAGTGCTGTCCAACGTTTGAACAACTGGGGCCAGGCTATTTCGGGTCCAGGGTTAGGCGAGGGAAAGAGCTGATTTTTTTTAACATCCTGACCGTTCACACACTGCAGAGCCATGGGGAAGGAATGGGTAAAGGATACTTTAAATACCGCAGAATGAAAATTTCTAAGACGCGCCTGAGAGAACGTTCTCTTCTATCCCCCCACCACAGAGATCCATAAGTAGAGAGGTTAAACGCATCGCGTTTACACCATTCCCCAAACGGCAAACGCGAATTTGTACCACGTGACCAAGTTTCCCCTTTACTTGTCGTTTACTGTTAATTATTTCAACACATAAATTAGTGTTTCACGCAATTTTGCATCCATAAGTATTAACTTGAGCCATTTTTATCTACTCATTTTCTATTTTGAGAAATCCTCAACTTGAATCTGACGTTTGCCGTTTGCTGTATACGTGAAGCTTAAACTCTCTAGTAAAACACCTCGAACGGCTAGTAGCGGACAAACGCTTTGATGTCTATGATCAAATGCCATGTAGTTAGACTCGACGAACATTTTAAATCTGGATACCCAATACATAACTTAGACCACAAAATGGGATGGGAATGAATAAAAGGAATAATACAGTAACTACTTCAATAACTGTGTTCAGGATACATCACAACTCCAGCCAGAAGCCAGTAATCATGGCATCTCCACCAGATGTCATCGCATTTCCTTTTCTCCTCTACTTCCCACAGAGTATGTAGCTCAGTAAATCCACCATCGGCAATGTTAAACATGAACCGCTGCTGTTCATTAGCTGCACTGGCAGGCTTACTCAGTCCAGCCGATTTCTCAGTAGATTTCTCCTGTTTAGGGACTGCTGCTGGATCAGTTTTAATAGGGGCCTGCTCTGTTTTCGCAGGCGATTCGGTCTTTTCTGCTGTATTGTCAGTTGCCTTTTTATCTGATTCTACAGCATCTCCAGCCGGTTTGCCCTCCTTTTGATCAGAGTCTATTTTCTGTGAGAGTTTATCATTAGTTTTATCGGTTTCTAACTCTTCTTCTTTTTTCTCGCTCGCTCCGCTTTTCTCTTCTGGTGCTTTATCTGTTTGATCAGAATCCCTCTTACCGTAAGCCTCATTAAAAGAATTTTTAACTGACTCAACTTCCTTTAAGGATTCTTCATTTTCCTTTTTATCAACCACGTCACCATGCTCTACACTTTCACTCTCACCACTCTCTGTTTCCTTAGTCGTGTCCTTTTCCTCTTTTTCTTCACCTTTTCCTGAATTATCATTTTTTTTATCAGCTGTGTCAACAGTATTATCGTCTTCTTTCTCCTCCGCTTCAAACACTGGCTTCTTTTGTTCGCCATCCTTGCCATTTTCAGAAGACTTTTCTCCAGTTTCTTGAACATCCATTGGTTCTGTTTCGTCAGATTTATCGTCGTTATTTTCTTTGCGTTCATTGTCCCTCTCAGGATCCTCTTTTTCAACAGGAACATCAACATCCATTTTGGTGTCTGTATCAGTCTTTGGATCTGCTAACAGTAAGTAAAAAGTTAAAACAAAATACGGGGTTTCTTGATGTTGTGGATGGGGGTTCCCAGTGGTGCCAACAGTCGACCTTTGCGGTCCTGTGCCAAAGTAAGGAAGGGGGACGTTTTCAGGATTGCTTAGTTTTGCAGCATATTTGTGGAATAGAATTTTACGTCCACAAGTCGTCTATGGATGGGTACAATCACCGAATGACTAGGGTCACTAATCTGGAAGACAAAGTTAAGCACTTAGGTCTGGATTTAGAAAGACCTTATGAGTTAAGAATTGTATTAACACTAGATCCTCAACAATGATCAACGGGTCCTTTGTAGCTGGTCAGTCACGTGGTACAAAAGGGACGCACTGGGGCCATTGTCAATTTTTGTCTTGTCCCAGAGCATCTGGCCTTGATCTACAGCATGGCGGTTTTGTACCACGTGAATGACCCGCTGCAAAGGGCTTAGAGCTATGAATCTGCTAACACACTGTGTAGAGGAAATTGACAGGTGGATGATTTCAAACAAGTTAAAGTTGAATGACGATAAAACAGAACTCATTGTTTTTAGCTCTAAATTCCGTCCAAGACCCTGTCTCAGCAATGTTCAGATTGGTAGTGAGTGTATAGAGCATAGCAATACTGTACGGAATCTAGGTGTTTTGTTCGATCAAACTCTATCTTTCGGGGAACATGTAAGCAAATTATGCAAATCATCTCATTACCATCTTAGAAATATTAGCAAGATGATCAGAAAATATCTACGAATATCTATGAAAATTCTACTGAGACGTTAGTCCATGCATTTGTTTCATCAAAGCTGGACTATTGTAATGCTTTACTTATTGGACTTCCAAAATACCAAATAGACAGACTTCAGTCAGTACTAAATACTGCGGCTCGCATTATAACTTTTACTTGTAAATATGATCATATAACTCCCGTTCTAGTTAGACTACATTGGCTCCCTGTTTCCTATCGTATAAGGTTTAAAGTGCTACTGATGACTTACAAAGCACTTAATGATTTATCTCCGGAATACATATCTGAGCTACTTAATAAGCCTTAAATATACCCACAATCTTAGATCTCAGTCTCAACATCTGCTTAGTGTTCCTAAATCTAGAACTGTTACCTATAGCGATAGAGCATTTTCTGTATGTACTCCTAAGCTATGGAATGAACTGCCTTTTCAGTTGCGCATGTCGTCAAATATACAAGCATTTAAATCAGCACTGAAGACAATGCTTTTTAAAATGGCCTATCTTTAGATGGGCATTTTATTATTTTGCAAACTATGATGTATTTTCTTTTGTTTCCTATTTTTTGTAGTGTGTAAGATGTAATCAGTAATTATTTCTTAATTATATATAATTGTAGAATTTAGTATAGTAGGATGAAATTGTAAAAACTGCTTCATAATTAGTATAAGGTTTAAAACTGTAAAGCGCTATGAATAACTAGTATTAATAGCGCTATATAAATGAATTATATTATTATTATTATTATCATTATTATTATTATCATTATCATTATCATTATCATTATCATTATCATTATTATTATTATTATTATTATTATTATTATTATTATTATTATTATTATTATTATTATTATTATTATTAAAATATCTTAACTGATGGCTTCGTGCATCCGGCCTGATAGGAGAGAAGCAGTAAGGAAGATTCTTCGAACGTACTTATAAGGGACAATAGGGAGCTTAAACAAAGGCGTTTTTGAGCGACGCACCTCAACCGGAAGTGAGGTCTTTGTCATTTTAAAGCAACTTGACGTTGCGAAATTTGTATTTTTAAGTGTCATAGACACTATTTGTCCAAAAATTTGGGCAAAACCATTGCCCAAAATTGAAAAAAAAAAAAAAGACCACTTCCGGTTGACGTGCGTCGCTCAAAAACATGACCAAAATCCCTAATAACGTCTCTTAACTCACCTTTGATGCTGTCATCCTCTTTGTGTTTATCGGTCACTTCCTTCTTGTTTTCTTCACTGTCTGCAGCAGGTTTAGCTTCTTCACCTTTTTCCTGTTTAGCACTATCATTATCTTCCTCATTAGCCTTCTCTTTAGCTGTAAACGAGACACAAGGGGTTCTATAACATTACACGTTCTCATACCATTAACCCATTCATTAAAATATTTCCATAACCTATTAGCCAACCAGTGGATGTAGTGTATTGACGTTGATAGTGTCCTTTTTACTTTAGAACCCCCATTCCCCCTGGAGTGCTTGACATACCCCCCCCTCCCCGAACTTCCGTATTTTTCCTACTTGGCTGGGTACCCCATGGAAAGAATATTTTCGTCAAAAATGATGTTGCACTATACTATTTTGCGAAAGATAATCGTTTCTTCAATGAAGAGAGAAAAATCCTTTTATTAATGTTAATACAGTGTCTAATAATCTTAGGTCTTTTTCAGTTAATAATTAACGGTAAGTCACTGAGAAACATGGAGGCGATACGTTACTCGACAGAAATGATGCCAGCTGTAAAAGAACAAGTTACATTCACACTAAACACCGAATGAACCTCAATTACTTCCTTTCAGTTAAAAACATGATAGAAGTTTTACAAAATGATCACATTACGGTAAATACCGCAATATATTGTGTTATACAGCAACTGCTATTCATGAGCAAATGACAATTGGTTGGTTGGGAACTAAGATTTACTTTCCGTTTGAAACAAGAAAGCTAGCTTTAGACGCCGGCAAACCCCTTGTTTGGTATGTTTCCTTCAGTTAAACGGCTATTTACTTTAAAGGTAGTTTGCATGCACAGAGCTTAAGTTGACTCTGTGGAATACAAAAGTATCACTAGCGAGATAACAACTGCGTACATCTCGGAGGTGCTATGCCATGTTAAGGGGCACTGGGTTATTAGTTGTAAACCTTTCTCCTATTACGCGTTAGTGAGCACGCACAATTAAACGACGTTGAGGCTTGGATGGACAAATCACTTAGTTTTGTTATCCCAAGCCTCGCATTAGTGCCACTGTTCACTGGAATGCAGGTACAGTGTATCAAATAGTCCCGGGGGGGGGGGGTACTCTGCCCTGTGGTCCCACCCTTACCCTTTTTTAAGATACCATTTTTAAGAGAAAAGCTAACCCTTTCTTATACCTTCTATTGACAAACAGTACCCCTTTCAAAGAGCTAGTAAGAACACTGCGTCGTTTTCACCTACTGTAAATTAACCGTCTTTTTAATACGAATAAATCACGAAACCAAGAATTTTTCTTGTCCTTTCACAGCCCAAGGTTCGTCTGTTAGCCCTTTTAACTTCTTTCACAGACCGAAATGACAAATTTCCCTAACCTTTCATATACTTCAACTTGTAAAATCCCTACCCTTTCTTATAACTGAAGCCTGAAAAAGGTATCCCTTTCGGGCGGAGCCTGCTCTTATAGGCCATTAGGCTGATTAGGCAACAGAACTGGAAAGTCGTTTGACGACGGGAAAGCGCGCGGAAAGGACTAAACTCGACTTCCGGTGCCCAATTTGCCGCTCTGCCATTGGTCAAGCCAGTTGTTCGATCTGCGCGTGCCGTCCTCAACTGACGTTCCCTTTCCGTTGCTAAATCAGGCCATTATAGGGAGTACTCCCAACGTACCTCCTTCGTCTTTGTCAGTTTCCATTGGTTCAGATTTCTGTTGTTCGTCTTCCTTCTTCTCAGGTGTTTCCTCTTTTTCTTCCTTTTTAACTGGCTCCTGTTCAACCTTTTTGCTGTCGACAATCTCTGTTACTGGTGTGGAGACACGTGAGGAGGTTTTACTTGAAGGTTTTTCTGTTGAAGGTTCTTCATCAGGACAAGCTTCCCATCCATTTATATGAGCAAACTCTTCAACCTGAACAAAAGGCCAATAACCACAAAAATCATCGTCACAAGCTAGTCCTTTTAGGCCCCTCACACATACCCATTAACCTATTCCTAGGAAGTGCCCGCGCCCAAACCCTCCCCCTCCACCTCGGAGTTTAGTCTTTGGTTTCACCTCCTCATAACGTTAAAAGAACCCTGTTTAGTAAAATGAACAGTGCCAAAAGAAAATACTTCTTGCCGGCTTTCACACCACCTTTAGAATTAACTCCGGAAGCTTAACCCTTTAAGCCCTAAGAGTGATTAGCATCAAATTTCTCCTTGTAATATCACTGCTTTTTTAAACAGAGTGGTCATGAGAATTACGGACATGATCACACAAGATGAATTTGCTTGATACTTTATCAACTTCACCCCACTACTTCTGTAGGAAATGAATAGGGGAACAAATGAGAATTCAAATTTTGATCTTAGGGTTGAAAGCGTTAATACTACCACATTTAGACTTGGTTTTCAAAATTTCTTATGGTAAACCCACCCACCTTCTTTCTTATGAGGCTCATGATACCAATCCGGGTCAGCACTTGAGTTCTTTGAAGTCCTTCACGAGGTACTCCATCATTAAACATTTCCTTGTTGTCTGTCCCAGGCTCACACAAGTGGCGCAGAAACATAGCTACATACGCTCTGTAGGTCAAAAACAATTTACATCTCGTTACGTTGAAATTTTTTTTCACAACATCAAACCTTTCCAACGTCATCAAAAATACTCCACAACGTGTCGCTATTTTCAACTCTGTTCACAGTAATGTATTTGATATGTGATAACACATAACCAGGATGGAGGCAGATGTTCTAGCAACAAGTAGTCATTTAGCGTGTTTTAACATCACAGAGGAAAACAAAGGAAATGCGGAAAAGCACAGAGTGATGCAGGTGGGTGACAGATATCATCATGGTTACTTCTCAAGGAAAAAGATAATCTTTCGAGAGCCTTCCTAGACGCAACTTCAGCTAATCAATTCCAATACAGCAAAGTGCTTCTTAGGAAACCAACAGGGTATGGACCGAAACCTCGCTCAAATGATAAGTTTGTTGAATTATGTGGAAATTTCCACAAACATTGTTTACGTTCAAACTAAAACTTAGCTGTATTCATGATGAGGAAAATGTTTTACACGTAAAATTCCAATATATCAATTACTTACTGGAAGGCTTTCTCGGATTTCCCCCGGAGGTCTCGCGCGAACCTAGAAACGGAAAAGAGTAACAGAAGACAGAGGGAAATGAATTCTCTCAAAGTTTTCAAGCTCAAATCTATTAAACAAATTTCAATGTTAGCACCAATGCGGACTACCAGGGAGCTCACAGTCCTTATCACCAGGTTGCTATTACGCATGCCCGACACGTTTGTAGCCAGGATTTGTTTGGACTTCCCCTGAGAATAAATGCCCCATTTGAATGCACAGAACGCAAAGCTTACAGCGTTGGAGCAAGGATGCTTTGACTTTTGACCTCCCCCGCACTTCCTAACCCTTCGTTACTATTACTACGTATGCTGAAACAAATGACCTGAAAAAGGTCTACTTTTACAGAAGACGTTCTTTTCAACAAGGCATCCATCTTACCATTGTGATCGACGAGACCCTTCAGGAGAAGGCAGACCATACCTCATCACCGCATTCAGGAACGATTTGCGCTGTCGCAAGTTGAAACCAAAAACCTGGATAACATAATAAAATACTCTTTAAACTATTAGTTCACTTCAACGGAACCTAAACGGTCTTGAAAGGGCGTATAAATTTTAACTAAAACACTCACACCTGACGCTTGGCCATTAGCTGCCTAAACTACGAGAAAAAGACCGAAATGCACAACTTTGTCCAAGTAAAGCTTATTTGGAGTAAAACTGATTTACCTTTCAAAATCGTTACTCAAATCCCACTGACCAGTTCAGTACACACATAAGTTCCTTTCACAAACAGTGCCGAATGACCTCAACTCTGTTCTAAGGGTCCACAGATCTTGTCGGGTAACATTTTCGTATATGTTAAGTTAAGTAACATACCTCCAAGTTGCCATGCACTTTAGCCAACATAGGAGGAGTGATCTCCCTGTCAGTAGCAGATCGAGTACCTCTCCGCTGACGACCTACCATTAAAAGCAAACAAAAAATAATTATTACAAACCTTATCGGTAGCTATCGATGCACCTTTATAAAATCTTTTTTTTATTTTAACGTTTTCAAGTACATATATTCCAATAAATCTTCCTACGGCGCCCAGTTTAGTTATTCCTTTCACTGCGGTAACTCCGTTCAGAAATTTTGTACAGCTAAAATGGCGGCAAACTTACTCACAATTCTTGAGACAGAACAAAGCAAATAAGGGCCTAGGCCAAACGCCGAACTTTTCATGAGACGAACAAAGCTCTAATTTAGGTCGACCTAAATTAAATTAAGATCGTTCGCTGGGTCAGAAGTCGCACTTACATGTAGGACGCGTCGAACCAATCAACTGAATCTGATCAGTAATACATTTTCTCCCGAACGAGGCTAAATATACATTATTTATACATATTTTTAATTTACTAGTTTAGATCGTCGCATGTAAAGATCGACGTTTGTCCCGGAGACGATCTTGAGAAGGATACAACGTGTTGGAAGATCCAAACTCATTCATACGAACTTAACTGAGACAAACGTCGAACTTTTCATGAGCTCAACTCACTAAGTTTAATAATAATAATAACAATCTTTTAATAGGATGCTCCATCACAAGAGTGGTTTACATAGAGGTCCTAATTACGAGATGTATATTATATAATACAATTAAAATATAAAAAGGTTAAGCTAAAATCGATATATATGAAAAAAAAATAAAAAAAAAAAAAAAAAAAAAAAAAAATTCAAGCTAAAATCCAGTTACAGAAATAATCAAAACATACACACTACAAGTACTCAATTATAAAAAGCAGAAAAAAGACACTTCTTAAAAATTGGAAAACTTGCTGAGTTTCTTACAGTTCTCTCTAATTCATTAAAGTCTTTGAAACAGTGGTACCGCGAACGTTGTTTTCCCCAATTATATTTAATTTTGGGGAGCTTGATAGTATCGTTATTGCGCGTATTGTAGGAATGTATATCACTCTTTCTTACAATGTCCAAAGAATGATTAAGTTGGCCATTAATACACTTGTATGCATATATACATCGATGACATTTCCTACGTTCTTCAAGATTCAGCCATCTCAAGACAATCAATGCATCGGTGGATGAGGAGTGAGGTGATCTATCTAATATCAACTTAGCTGCTTTGTTTTGGAGAATTTGCAATTCCTTCATAAGTGAGACATTGTCCTTGTCACCCCAGACTAAATCAGCATAATCAAAAATAGGTAGCACTAAGCTATTATAAAAAAGTAACCGGGCATCATAAGGTAAATAATACTTAATCCTACGTAGAAGACCAAGGTTTTTATTAACCTTACATGAAATATACTCAATATGGTCGGACCATGTGAAAGTTGAAGACAACATAACTCCCAAATATTTAAAACTACTTACAGAATTTATATCAGTGTCAAAAATAGATAACGTGAAAGAGGAAATACCAACAAGTTTCCTATTACTGCCTATAATCATGGATTTCGTCTTAGTAAGATTTAAAGTTAACTTATTTCCATGTAACCACTGGGCAACTTTCAAGAGATCATCATTTAGTGCCTCTTCTAACAGGTGTGGCTCTTTAGCAAAGTAGTACAGGACCGTGTCATCAGCATACAAAGTCACTTCGCAATTCTTTATAACCAGCGGAAGGTCATTAATATAAACCAAGAAGAGAAGCGGTCCTAGAATGCTCCCCTGTGGTACCCCAAAGGTCATCGGGAGAGGGTCAGACACAGCATCGCTACAGGCAGTCCGCTGTTTACGATGATTCAGGTAAGACTTGAACCACTGTAGAGTGCTGGGCGAGACATTGATAGCCGACAATTTAGATAGCAAGATCGTATGGTCAACGGTATCGAATGCCTTGGTCAGATCTAGGAACACTGCACCGCACAGTTCTCCACTCTCCATATGCAATAGGACCTCATCTGCAAAACTGGTGAGAGCCGATGTTGTAGACAGTTTGGGACGGAAGCCAAATTGTTTGCTTGAAAGGAGATTATTTGAATTCAGAAAGTCATAGAATTGGGAATGGACGACTTTTTCCAGAATTTTACTCATTGTTGGCAGAATAGAAATTGGGCGATAATTTGACGCATCTCTCCTATCTCCAGTTTTGAAAAGTGCAGCCACTTTCGAGCATTTCCATATTTCAGGAAAATTGCCAGTGCGAATAGAGAGATTCAGTAACTTGGTGATCGAGGGACAAATAGCACGCGCGCCATACTTTAAAAGTCTCGCACTGATGTTGTCCAAGCCAATAGCTTTATTTGTCTTTAGAGAAAGCAGATGCTTGAGTACTGTTTTCTCATCAACTTCGTCAAGCGAGAAAGACTGTAGCATCGTGGCCGATCTGACTGGGAACATAGCAGCAGCTGATATTTTATTTGCAAGACTTCTGCCAATGGATGAGAAATAACAGTTGAGCACGGATGCAATAGAGGCTGGGGTGGTGTGTTCAACACCATCAACTACGATACATTGTGGGCTCGAGGATTTAGTCTTGCGCGAAGACACCTCATTCACCGCCTTCCAGATCTTTCCTGAATCCCCTTTAGCCTCTAAAATCAAGTCACAATAATACTTGGATTTTGCTGCCTTGACTTCACGATTGACCCTATTTCTTAACTTTCTATAGCGAGCCCAGTGAAAAGCAGAATTGGTTTTCACGGCTTTACGATGGTGAAAATCACGATCCTTCATCACCTCACTGATTGTATCATTCAACCACGGGAGCGGAACACCTCGTATTCTTCGCCTTTTCACGGGCGCATGCAGGTCAGCTATTTCAGAAAACAAGTGATTCCAAATAAACACGGCGTCGTCGATGTCTTCCTCGTTTTCAATGATGTGCCATGGGACGTTATTCAAGTCCGCTAGGAAGGTGTTCGCATCAAAGTTTTTATAAGAGCGGTATTCAATTGTCTTCGGTGGTGCCTTAATTACACCTGCTTTTAAAACACAATAGACGAGGTAGTGATCACTCAGCGAAACAGGAACAACACCGGAGTCATTGATGCGGTGATCATTGTTCACTAAAATCACGTCAAGCAAGGATTGACAGGTTTCCGTCACTCGGGTGGCCTCAGTAATGAGTTGCGTAAGATCGTGTGAAGTTGCAAATTTTTTAAGCTCTTGTTTTTCTTTCTTTCTTGAAAATGGCAGCATATTTGCATTTAGGTCGCCAAGAAGCACGAAATCACATTTTTCCAGGTTAACTTTCGTCATAGATATCTCCAAGTTTGAAATAAAGTTCGCAAAGTCAAAACCGGGGGCTCTATATGCACAACAAATCAATACTGGGCGACATTTAGTGCGCGATAGCTCAATCCATAGACATTCATTTGCGGCTGAGTAAAGATCATTCCTAACACGAAACGGCAAGCCTTCCTTTACATAGATTGCTACTCCACCAAAACCTTCTTTGGCTCCAGACCTATCCAGGCGAATGCAATTATATCCTGGAATAATAACATGAGAGTCTTCATAGCAGTCATCCAGCCAAGTCTCACTGAGTGTAAGAATATCGATCGTTCTGTTATCCAAACCCTCCAGGCGCAGCGAGTCTGATTTGTTCCTCAAGCTTCGAATATTTAGATGAGCAAGCCTCAATCCTCGTGAACTCCTAACATCCTCCAAACTCCTATATCCAGGGTTGAGTTCAACATCTCCGGCAAGCGCTATTAGAGCCAAGGCTAGAGAGCCATGAAGTATAAGCTTGCACGTAATAAAGCCTTTCTGGAAAGCTCCGACTGCTTGGTGTTTTGCTGGACGCCGTGCCAGAGAGTGAAAAGATTGAATTTTAATCCTGCAAGCTTCTTGGGAAGCAAAATATAGGTTGCTACTATTGCTTAGTGGCTTCGTTGATGATTTGTTTTGTTTTATGCCATTCAAGATAAGAAACAGGCAGAGCAGGAGGCCAAAATTAACGGACAACGTGGTAACGCGTCCAGCCATCTTGGTATGCATAATAACTTCCACTTTTGTAGCTTTCTATTCCATGGACATAAAGTGCTGCAAGTAGAGTAGTTGAAGGTTAAATCATTGACATCTCAAGTATTTATAAAGTGCAACCCGACTTCACGTCTTAACAACTGCGAAAATCTGTCAATTAAATGCATACAACGAAGTGAATCTGCAATGTCGAATCTATTTAACCGTTAAGTTCCAGTAATTTCGTCAATATTCGGAGAAACGTACACCAGAAAACAGGAGTTTGGTTCGTCTCATGAAACGTTTGACGTTTGGCCTGGGCCTAACTCTGGTAAAGGAGGTCAGAGTATCGGATCTTGATAACCATAAACCTTTCGCGAACTTAGACTTATCCAGACACCTCAAAGTCATGGAGTCTTTACACATCAACTACACCAGCGATATGTTTAGCAAGCATATTGCCGTAGCCAGATAATTTACCATCCGGCTGCAACTGTTACCTTCTGCCTTTTGATTGAACTCCTCATCTGATTCCTCTTCATCAACGTCACTGTAACCGTCATCTTCATAGTCCGACAAGTTATTAGTCCATGCTGTAAACACAATCAGACTACATTAGATACCATGCACTCTGGAACAACTTACTGATATCTTCGTCCCGCACAAAAAGAATAGCTACTTGAAGAAGACACCTTTTTTCAGTGGTTATGTCCAAAATAACTTGATTTCGCCTAAGTGATATTGAATGGTTATTTTTTCCAGTAAATAGTTCGTTCCACTTTTGCCCTTAAAATGTAGGCGTAAATATTGTGCATCAATTTCAACTTGGTTTAATTAAGAATTTGTTCACGCTTAGCGTGCGTATATCGAGTTACGAATGAACGTGGGAAGTTTGGAGAGCACGATAGAAGCGCAACTCTAGCTTCTTGAATTTTACAGACAACTGTATACGTCATCTTATTTACGCACGCCCGAGCGTAAATAAAGATTTTGACCCTATATGGATCATTATACGTTCCTGGGAAACTGCCCACCTACCCCTCCCCTAAGCCAACATTTTGCCCTAAGTGGGAAGTAAGGGTTAAGTTTGCTTAGGGAGGGGTATGGAGGCAGGCAAGCACGCGCACTATATTATAAAGCTCATGTTCCTTTGCTTTTGTCCCTGGTAATTTGTGATGATGATTTCGAAACTGAGGAAAATAAAATGAACACCGAGTTCAGTAGTTACAGTTAAAACACAAACTTGGTGGTTTGCCAGAGTAGCTACTCTTTTCAAACTCTGGAAATATACCGTACACTAGTTAAAATTTTGAAATGAATTGTGTCAAGAACAAATCTCGTTTTGCTGAACGAGGCGCACACCAAAAGTTAGCCTGAGTGGCAGGGAAAGGAAAAGGAAAGTATTTTGGGCGCGAGGGAAGCGTGCGGGGCACGCGAGGAAGGAGCTCTTCCTCGCGCGGGGTCTCGCGCCCACATTTTCTTCCCCTTCCCTGTTGAACGCAAGCTAACTGCCTTTAATGGGTTAGTGAGCGAGTAAGTGTTCTCGCTAGCGAGAGTTCGTGGTAGCGGTCGAGAGTTCATTTCAGAAGTCGGTAATTCTCACTTTTTTTCTCGGGGATTTCGCTCCTACCCGTATCATCAGAGTGTCCATTATAGCCAGGTGTCCTCAAGACGAGTTTACCGTTAAGGAACTTGAATGTATTTCAAATGAATCGTAGACTGAGCGGGGGTTAAGGAGCATAGTGCAGTAGTAACCACTCGATTAACCTTCCCCAAACAGTTTATGGATGCAAAAAAGCCAAATTACCTGATTCTTCCTGATCTTCCACACCTCCATCAACATAGCTCACCTGGGGATATACACAGAAGCAGTTTAGAGTTCAGTGACCATACTTACACACAATTGTCTTTCAATAACCGCCTTGAACTTGTACGTAGCCTTCTAAATACCCAAATTTCAACTAGTTTCCATGTAATCGCAACAATCGGTTAGTAAACGTTTAGCGATCACAGCGAACATTTTCAGTTCTGTTTCAGGATGGCTTAAACGTTATCGTAAAGATGGTTACACTCTTTTCCAGCGGATCGAACCAATCATATGAATCGATGAACAGGCAGTTTTTTTTTTTGGAAATATTAATTGACACGTCATGTTGCGTTTTGAACATCATCACCATCACCAGACAATATTTACTAGAAACCGGGCGCCATTCCAGGCGAGAAAACTTTCTATCAGCGAAAAAGAAGATCACTGCAATCCAGTGACTACACCTCCCCGAAGTAAAAATCACACCAAGTTGTTCAATGGTCAAAAATAAAAGTTTAATTTGTGCCGGTAAGTGCTCATGCTTCGACTATTATGTAAGAGTTACTTATGTGGCCTGTGTCCTTTCAGCTTAGAGCCTTTAGGCTCTAGAAGTGTTCAGCATCAAATTTCTCATAATATAAATATTTTATAATACAGAGTGGTTGCGAGAATTAAGGACGTGATCACACAAGATCGATTTAACTGACACTTTAAAAACTTCTCCCCACCACTTCTAGAGGAAATGAGAAGTTAAATTTTGATCCTACAAGTTAAGTAAAGTTACAGTTACCTGTTTTCTGATTCTTTTTCCCTTTCCCAGATGTCGCGCCTCGTCTTCTTGGAACTGCTCGTAATGATGGCGTAAAAGTTTCTCCCAGTAGTCAGGGTCTGCTTTCTCTGCATCTTGCTGTTGATAAAGAATAGCAGTAGAATAGAACTTTTTCATGTTACTTATTATTTTATGCTCATATAATTGACGCCAAGCCTCGCTAGCATGTTCAAACAACAAAAGAATTTTCTCTCAAAATGGATACTTAGAGGTAAATTAAGATGAATATAAAGGAAAAATAATAACATGGAAAAAGTCCAGCTTGTGGGAACATGCTCGGATTTGCTCAGGAAAATACCACAGAGGAAGTGAAAGGTTAAGAACTGTTTTTTGCGGAATGTACATCATCGCGAAAGACGTTAATCAACTATTTAAGCCGTAAAGAAGATGGCGATTTTTTTTGCTACCTTGAGAACTTCTACATCATCATCTTTCTGCTTCACTACATAGCTTGCGACCTGCAAAGAAAGCCACAAACACCAAAGTGTTAACAGGATATACTGAAAGTAATGACTAAAAATACTTGGATGGCATAAGCTTATACATTAGTTAATAAAAAACACTTGTAAATCAATGGCTTTTAGAAAGGTTCACACACAAACCACAAACTGATAAGCGCAAACTGAATGATACGGTATCACTATCCAAGTTGGTATTTTTTATCACTTGAATGTTTCCAAACTTTGGTGTGGCTAGGTTATGAAATGAAATCCTATGGTGTTATCGCCCAGTTGAAACCTCTCTGGCAGACGGTCGCCCAGCGCTATTTATTTCTAAGAACTTTAGAAATGAATATTTTTTGAGGAGGGGTGTGGGGGGAGGAGGTGAACTTATTTCTCTAGTCACTATTAGCGGAGAAAGGATCAATTAGTATAATCTATATCACTGTGAAAATTTTTGAGCGTATATTACCACAAAGTCTAACAGTAATTCTAAAGGCAAAACGTGTTCACTATTCTGTATGCATGTCTAAATGCAAAATCAGTAAGACTTGACTACAGTGCTGGGAATAATTCACTACTATCATGGAGGGAGACATTATCATGTCTGAGCGATATACTACTCCAGTAGCCTAATGCTAAGGCTCCAGGCCCTGCTCACTCATGTTTAATATTGCATGTCATAGAAGTGGTCTGTATATATGTAGATTACAACCACCTAAAGTGAGAGAAGTCATCAACAGGCCACAGCAACAAAATGCTGTCATCCTGTTCCTTCTCTTTTGACATGCTTTAGCCAAAAAGCTGGCTCTGCTATTCAACTATAAACCATTGGAAAAAGGACGGCACATAAAACTAAAAGAAATCCCTATCTGTTTGATTCCCTGCCCACTTTTTTTGCAAGCCCGGTTCTCATATGCCGCTGATGCACCTGCGACATGGCCGCCGGTACTGCCTGGGATACTGTTCCGATATGAGAACAGAAGTAGCCAGCAAAATTGGTCATCCCAGTCTTTACCCGCTGGCATGCCTGCGAAGCTGACTCGAGTTTATCTTCGCAGGCATGCCAGCGGTAAAACTTTGTGATGGCTCTAGTTGCAGGCAGCGCATGTTCTCATTTGTCCAAGAAGTAGCCCAGGCAGTACCAGCAGCTACGTTGCAGATACGTCGCCGGCATATGAGAACCAAGCCTGCCCAGGGTTGCTAGGGTAGGCAAGTGACCCATCCACCCGGTACAACTTTTCTCCATATAAACAGGGCCTGAGTCATGCTTACCTTGAAAGAAGCGAGGTATTCATTAGCCAACATGTCTTTCTCTTCATCAGGAGCATCATCATGGCTACTGGTACGGTCCAACAATGACATTATGGCTTTTTCATCATAATCTATGCGGCCTGAGTCACCCGAGTCTGACAATTAAGAGAAAATCGATTAAGAATGTATATTACAGCATCCTTAAGAAATAAGATCTCGCTATCTCCTGTTTTTTCCAATTTTTTCTTTTTCTTAGCAGCAGAAAAACATGGCAGGGCGTGGAAGATGGCTCACTCATGTTTCACTCCTTTTGACACCCCAGGGAAATAAAAAGACTACTCATAGTCTAGACTTCAGCTCCTTTCACCAACTGATACATATCTTGTCACCAGTTATAAACCATTTAGGAGTTATCAATAGCGTCTGCAAAGTCATATGTCTTCCACGTACCAGCACTTGTTTTTTAGTACGATAAAAAAGAGAAACATAATTACAACATATGTTTTGAATTAGAAAAACGCAAATGCCACTGATAGTGTACAGCGTTCGTACATGCATGGAACACACTTCTAGGGCTGCTCAGAGTACTTTTAGATCTCTAGAAATGTATTCTAAGTGGCGCTAATGAGTCTTTTTTAAAATTACAAGGGCTTCAAAATTATTTTCCTGAAAACGTAAGCTGCAATTTAAAGTTATACGAAAGTGGGAAGTTTTCTGATTCCTATCTGCATCGCATTCCCGGTTGCGAAAATTTAGGTTTCCTTTCTCTATGAAAAAATAGCTTAACCTGGGGAGTAAAATGGGAAAAATTAAACTTCAGAAAATCGTAAGGAATTTAATAGATAAGCTTCAAAAATTGTACATGAATGGTCATCTCGAAAGTTTTAGCCTTCCTCAAGCTATAGAAAATTCTAGGCAATTGTTGCTTCTCCGAACAGACATTTCACAGAAAACAGTCACTGGGTGTCCCTGGCTTACGGTAGCGTCAGGAATGTTTTGATTCACTAAAGAAAGGTGTGTCAGTAGAAGACTAACCTCCATCTTTAGCATTGTCATCCTTGAAGAGTTCTTGTGTTCCAAATTTGAGAATATCATTGAGCTCACTCTTAGACATGACAGCAGTTTTGCTGGATCCCAAGCCGGGTCTAACCACAAGATGAGTCAGCATCATCTTCTTCTTGGCAACCTTTCAAGCAAAGATCAAAGTCATCAAAGCTTAAGGGGTCATATTATACATCTACAACAAAAATAGCGCTTTTAAAGGATTTGTTTGTTTCACACTGATTGTTGAAGTAAATTAGTCGAGACTGAGGTCTCTCAATAAACAAAAAACATATACTTATTACAATTTTCCAGATATTTTGAATCATATTATTTTAACTCAAAATTTACAGAACTGGGATGCAACTATTCTTCAATGTTTTCTTTCCACTGAGCACTGTAGTTTGATAAGATTCTGATATAGGCAATTGGGCTCAGGTGAACAAAGCAATATTGGATTGAATGTTCATTCACTGCAACCCTTTCCTTGATTTGGAAGGAATTTCTCATGTTTTTTCCATTTTAGGTTATTCCAGCCATAACGTCTCCTTAAAAAAACCTAAAACATGCCGATTATGCTTATTAACATTCATTTTGGCCAATATTTTTTTATAGTTAATATAAGAAACTGTGACACAATTATCAGCATCATCAGAGACTGCACCTCCCTGCTAGCAGAGGTCTCTCACGACACCTCTGCTAGCAGGGAAAGACTGTACCAACACACCTCCAAATTAAAACCACCAAGGAAGGAGCCATAAATGTGTTCCATTAATGTGAAGTAAGAATCCAAACAATTATTGTTTAGACTGTGTTTGCAATAGCAGGAACTGACTATACTTTGTTTAGTTGCTTAAAATAAATATTTCCCCTTACACTTGTTATAATGTACAGCGCTACGTACCTGTGTGATCCGCTCTTCTACACTAGCCCTTGTAACAAAGCGATAGATCATAACCTAACAAGAAGACGGAGACTCATAATGTAATTTTGATATTCTGATATTCTATATTATATTTGATATTCTGATTTGATATTCTACACGTATTGAAAAGTAATGTCTAAACTGATGCTCCATGAGGGGGACATAAGAAGTCTGAAGACAATGACGCCTCTCTCAAGTGCACTGGAGGGTGAATTAAGAAGAGTCTGACTACAGGGCTAAACTGTACAAAACAATACAAATGAATTGGACGAAATGAAATGAATGGATGAAAGAATGAATGAATGCATGAAATGAATGATGAGTTACGGACGAGAGAACATCAGACGTGTTTTTTTACTGTACATTATATATTAACAGATATGCTAAGGTCTAAAGTCAAAGATTGTTTGATGGTCTGGCCTGGGTTTGAACCCTTGACCTCCTGCTTGGAGGACTGGGGCCCATTTCTCGAAAGTCCCAGTAACTTTCCAGGCTCGAAATCAAATATTCAAGTAAAAATGTACAGAATAAAATCGCGCTAGTCCTAGCCACCAAACTCGTCCATTTTGTTTTCTTAACTGATAATTTTATTATGTTATCTGCAAAAGTACTGAAACCTCTATCTTGAATGTAAACAACAACAGCTTTCTGGGCCCCGAACTATCTAGGTCCTGTAACTATTGGGACTTTCGAGAAACAGGCCCCAGGTCCTTATTCAACTGAACTGACTAGGATAAATGAAGACTTTATACAATAAAACAATACACAAGGCACTGAAGAACACCACTTTGTTAATTAAATACCTTATTGTTTTGACCAATTCTATGAGCTCTGCTGAACGCCTGTGAGAAAAGACAAGAAGGGAAGAAAAGCAACACACATGTACAACATCTTATTAGGTTGGTGGATAAAAAATCTTGTAACTTCTTTTTCTACTCCAGGGTAAAGCAGGTCACAGCTTTGTAACTGTTAACAGAAAACCCAAGTATAAAGAGGTCTACTAACATACCAAATTTTCTGAACTATTGGATTGGCCAAAATACAATGTTTCATGTTAATGTCACTATTTATGTACATTGTATACCTGGATGTCATTGTGAGGATTCCAGTCTGAGTCATATATAAACACAGTGTCAGCTGTGGCTAAATTGATGCCCAGACCTCCAGCACGAGTAGAAAGCAAGAAACAAAACGTCTGTGCACCAGCAGCTTCAAACAAGCAAACAGGAAAAGAAAAGGCAAGAAAAATAGTGCCCTGATTAGCATCAAAAACAATATTAATAAAACACGTAAAATAACTGTAATGCAGGGCTGTCAGTAAGATTTCAAGTTTCAAGGAGTATTCAATAAGTAGTAGTAGGTAGTAATTGAACAGCTAAGAGGTTTTGTTTTCATTTTGTTAACCTATAAAAAGTAGCTGGGGATTCATGTTCCCTTTACAGGGTTCATATAAGGCCAGGATTCATACATGGTCAGGATTTTAATGAAATGAGGATAATTTCAATTTTTGATATTATTTATCAGATAACCACCACGAAAAGTTACAAATTTGCCCGCCACTAGAAGCTTAGTTTTAGAAAAATAGGAGCACTACACACAATACACTCACACAATATAAGGTAAAAGCCTGTCATTGATTCGCACCATCTTATACCCTAGTTCTGGCGTTTTGGTCAGAGGACAGTCAGCAGAAAAGCACATTTTCAGCAGTAAATATTTCTTTAGTGAAAATACAGTTTTAACAGTAGCAGTATGAACTATAGCTGAAGATTAGTAAGGTTAACAAGTTTTGAAGATCACCCTAGCTACTTCCCAATTAAAATTACTGAAATGCTGTTTCCTCCTGCATCACATGTACTTACCATTAAATCTATCAATACATTCCTGCCTAGCAGCTCCATTGACAGTTCCATCAATTCTTTCATATTTGTAACCGTGCCCCTCAAGGAAGTCTTCTAAGATATCCAGCATTCTTGTCATCTAGTTTGGCCAATAGCAAACAAGCAGGGGCATTAGTATGTACAATTCTTGGCAACCTTTCAAGCAAAGATCAAAGTCATCAAAGCTTAAGGGGTCATATTATACATCTACAACAAAAATAGCGCTTTTAAAGGATTTGTTTGTTTCACACTGATTGTTGAAGTAAATTAGTCGAGACTGAGGTCTCTCAATAAACAAAAAACATATACTTATTACAATTTTCCAGATATTTTGAATCATATTATTTTAACTCAAAATTTACAGAACTGGGATGCAACTATTCTTCAATGTTTTCTTTCCACTGAGCACTGTAGTTTGATAAGATTCTGATATAGGCAATTGGGCTCAGGTGAACAAAGCAATATTGGATTGAATGTTCATTCACTGCAACCCTTTCCTTGATTTGGAAGGAATTTCTCATGTTTTTTCCATTTTAGGTTATTCCAGCCATAACGTCTCCTTAAAAAAACCTAAAACATGCCGATTATGCTTATTAACATTCATTTTGGCCAATATTTTTTTATAGTTAATATAAGAAACTGTGACACAATTATCAGCATCATCAGAGACTGCACCTCCCTGCTAGCAGAGGTCTCTCACGACACCTCTGCTAGCAGGGAAAGACTGTACCAACACACCTCCAAATTAAAACCACCAAGGAAGGAGCCATAAATGTGTTCCATTAATGTGAAGTAAGAATCCAAACAATTATTGTTTAGACTGTGTTTGCAATAGCAGGAACTGACTATACTTTGTTTAGTTGCTTAAAATAAATATTTCCCCTTACACTTGTTATAATGTACAGCGCTACGTACCTGTGTGATCCGCTCTTCTACACTAGCCCTTGTAACAAAGCGATAGATCATAACCTAACAAGAAGACGGAGACTCATAATGTAATTTTGATATTCTGATATTCTATATTATATTTGATATTCTGATTTGATATTCTACACGTATTGAAAAGTAATGTCTAAACTGATGCTCCATGAGGGGGACATAAGAAGTCCGAAGACAATGACGCCTCTCTCAAGTGCACTGGAGGGTGAATTAAGAAGAGTCTGACTACAGGGCTAAACTGTACAAAACAATACAAATGAATTGGACGAAATGAAATGAATGGATGAAAGAATGAATGAATGCATGAAATGAATGATGAGTTACGGACGAGAGAACATCAGACGTGTTTTTTTACTGTACATTATATATTAACAGATATGCTAAGGTCTAAAGTCAAAGATTGTTTGATGGTCTGGCCTGGGTTTGAACCCTTGACCTCCTGCTTGGAGGACTGGGGCCCATTTCTCGAAAGTCCCAGTAACTTTCCAGGCTCGAAATCAAATATTCAAGTAAAAATGTACAGAATAAAATCGCGCTAGTCCTAGCCACCAAACTCGTCCATTTTGTTTTCTTAACTGATAATTTTATTATGTTATCTGCAAAAGTACTGAAACCTCTATCTTGAATGTAAACAACAACAGCTTTCTGGGCCCCGAACTATCTAGGTCCTGTAACTATTGGGACTTTCGAGAAACAGGCCCCAGGTCCTTATTCAACTGAACTGACTAGGATAAATGAAGACTTTATACAATAAAACAATACACAAGGCACTGAAGAACACCACTTTGTTAATTAAATACCTTATTGTTTTGACCAATTCTATGAGCTCTGCTGAACGCCTGTGAGAAAAGACAAGAAGGGAAGAAAAGCAACACACATGTACAACATCTTATTAGGTTGGTGGATAAAAAATCTTGTAACTTCTTTTTCTACTCCAGGGTAAAGCAGGTCACAGCTTTGTAACTGTTAACAGAAAACCCAAGTATAAAGAGGTCTACTAACATACCAAATTTTCTGAACTATTGGATTGGCCAAAATACAAT